AAAAAAAAAACATAAAATAAAATAATATTTTGCCAAAATACTCCTAAAGACAATTCAAGGTGTACTACCTTTAATAAGGTTGTTTAAATATTTAATTAAAACAAGGCAAAATATTTTTACAGCCTATATTTGTACTTGACTCAACTGACTATATATATATTTTATTCAACACTGCACATAATGTAGAGATAAATGGCATTTAATAATAAAATAATTCCAACTATCACCTACAAATCAAATAGGACCGGGAAGTGCAATTGCCGCTGCTTAATTAAAAAGGAAGTGTGCTGAATTTTAATGAGTTTTTTTTTTCCCTGAAGGTCACATGTTTCCGACTTCCAGCAGTTTAACATCCCAAATATAGTATGTCTAAGCTTGCTGCTTCATTAAGCAATATCTGCTTATTAAAATTCACATTCGCTCACACACACTCACCTCCATCAGGAAGGGGTCAGTCTTGGTGGAGCGTCCGGTCGCCACACACTGAAATGTGGCATTCTGTCCTGCGTTCACCTCCACATCCCCGAGTCTGGAGAAATGAGGCACTTTATCTGTGCACAAAGAGAAGAAACTTAATTTAGTCAGTTCATCCAGAAATCAGGGTGCAAATATAACAGTTCAGTGCAAAATATGTTTGCCAACAATTAAAATGCCATCGACATTGAAATTTCCAATGCTAGTTCAGAGGAAGCATCTGCAGGTATGTAACTAAGCATACAGTTGACTGTAAGCACTCTTTAAATAAAGTAGGAAAGGCATCGCCTACTCGTAGATGTATTTTAGCTCTGTATTGCTTGGTGCATGTCCAGTAGTTTATGTAATGATGTTAACAAATTAGCTAGTCTGCTACATCTTTACCAGCCTCACTTCTATTTATGAAACCTTCGAACTGAAATTATGCAGCTAATGTTCTCCCTCCTTGGAAAAGGTTGGTAACCGTGTCAGGTCCAATATTACAGTTATTTCAGTATTGTAGCATAACCCACATTAATGACTCACAAGGTCAATGAGTTGTGAAATTCAGGGCACCAACAGACTCCCCAAATCAACTCTAAGCTTACTACTTTAAGCTTAACCCTGCCTGGTTTAAATGACTGAAAATGATTAACAGTTGAAAATATTCATTAGAAATGTAGAAAAGTAATTAAAAAAAAAAATATATATATATATATATATATATGTTATGTAGGGATGCACCGATATGAAAATTTTGGCCGATACCGATAACCGATTATTCTTTATTTTTGAAAGCCGATAACCGATATGTTGGCCGATAAATCTATATCCAAATTGTTATATACTTTTTGAGAGCCTGATTACAAAAAAGGTCTCATCATTAAAAGCCACATCCCAAACACTTCAACATAAGCAGCCTAGTTTGAACGGTGTACATTTTAAAAATATTTTTACTCTCCCATTACCAAATTTAGTCATAAAAAAGTCTTACAAATAAATAAAATTATGCATAAATAATGCAAACAAGTCACTGGACATCATTACACGTGTAAAGAATCAAAATGAATGCGCCATAGATCAATAAAACGGAATAGCCTCTGCACGGACAATAATTAAATGATTTTAATTACTAAACCATATTGTTGATGAAAATAATAAGAGAACAATACAAGTGGTTGTTGTTATTAATAATGTATCGATGATTTTGAAAAAGTAACAAATTAATACCACTGTTTTAAATAGCAGCCGTTGAGCTGCGCGTGCTGAAGCTGAAGAGCTGAATGAACATGGTAAACTGAAGCGTTTTGCTGGCAGCTTATTTAACTCAAGGAAATGCATCCTGAGATTAATATTAATACAACATAAACATAATATTACAACTTATATATGTACAAAATTATGCAGTTATTGCGTGCTATAGTCAGAATGTGTGATCCTGTTGTGGATGCGCTCTTCCCATAACAACGCGCTGAAACACGGCAACTAAACCCAAAGAATTCACAACGTTTTATTATAATAATGTTCTCATTAGAATGTTATATACATGACATTCCCAATCATAGTTATTAATGTTGTGCACTGCTGTTTGGGCTGCGTGTGCTGAGCTAAAGATGATCACCGGTAAACTGAAGCGCTCTTTTTAACTTAACCAAACGCATTCTATATGAGATAAATCAGATATACATCAAATAAACACAATATTACAATGTACAATTGCACAAAAGGCTGCAAACGAACAGCGCGCATCTGAAGTGTCTCTGAAGGAAATAATGCATTATTTATCGGCTTTAAGATATCGGCCAAATTTTCTTATCAGGCCGATACCGATAACAGAAAAAATGAGCCGATATGGGCCGATACCGATATGGTGGCCGATATATCGTGCATCCCTAATGTTATGAGTTACATTACTTTAATAAAGTAATTGAAATTATTACACTACTTATTACATTTTAAACAGGGTAACTTATAATCTGTAACCTTACCATATGTGTGTGTGTGCATGTTTATGTGGTTTATGAGGACACAAATTTGTATAATAACCTGGGTATGACATAGGTATTACAACAAGAAGGTGATTTATGAGGACATTTTCAGTGTCCCCGTAATTCAAAAGCTTATAAATAATTCAGAATGAGTTTTTTTGAAAATCTAAAAATGCAGAAAGTCTCCTGTGAGGGGTAGGTTTAGGGGGGGATTGGCGTAGGGCAATAGAATATACGGTTTGTACAGTATAAAAACCATTACGCCTATGGAGAGTCCCCACAAGGATAGCAAACCAGACATGTGTGTGTGGGTGTGTTAGTGGTGGCTGACTAAATACAATGTGATTTTCTGGATTTTTTTTTCTCATTTTGTCTCTCATAGTTGAGGTATACCTATGATGAAAATTACAGGCCTCTCTCATCTTTTTAAGTGGGAGAACTTGCACAATTGGTGGCTGACTAAATACTTTTTTTCCCCACTGTATATATATATATACAGTAATCATTCACATATGTACCATAGTGAGCCTGATCTCATGACGAAAACGTACCTGTAGGAACTTTTTTGCAAGACACAAAATATGTAGCGCCATGAAATTTCGTGACATATTCAATGTGAAATGTCCACTGAGTGGCGCTAAAAGAGTGTTCTTTGTTTCCCCAGATGAACGTACATATGGTACGTTTTATGTGACATTGGTTTTGTACGTTTCACCGCAGTTCTGACTTGAAATGTCTGTCGAGTGGCTCTATAACTCTAATACTCCGTGACGTTTTAAAATAACGTACCATCTGCTCTACACCTAAACCTACCCGATAGTATGAACAAAAGCAAATGTGTAAAAACGCAATCACAAGCATGTTTTTTGATCTCATATCCTTGAGCTCTTTCATCGTGAGTCATGTTTTTCGCCTGATTTGTACCTAAGCATTCTTAAGTCCAATTCACATCTTAAGTCCAAGTATGTGCCAGCTGAGCTACCAAGCAAGCTTGTTACATCCGGAAAGCAAAACATATGGAGCTGTAATCACAACTCTTACCGGTTTTACCGCCTCTAGTGTTCATTCCTGTTGGAAACTGCAGTGACGTATTTCACGTTTTGCTAAAAAGTTCCCACAGGTATGTTTTTGTCGTGAGATCAGGTATACCACAGTACAACCATCTAATATCTTCACATTGTGTGATGATATAAAAAATCAGGCATTTGATATTTGCTATATAGTGAGTGTACTGAATGTATTTAGGTAAGGGTATACTTATAGCAGTTGTATAATTTATAATGAATCATTCATTTGTTAAATTTAGTTTTTTTTGTTCGTTATGTGGGTGATATTGAGAATTATGAAACCTGTGAGGCTTTGTTAAGCATCCAACAATCTGGTGTAGAGACAAGCCTAATTACTGTTAATAATATTGTCACGTCATGGACTGCATTGTGTTTGTTTTCCTCCCCCACATGTTCCATGTTTTCCATGACCTAGTTTCTCCCGGGTCTCCTGCCCATATTTGGTTTTCCTGTTCCTGTTCCTGTTCCCATTGAGTTCCATTTGTTTCAGCTGTGTCCCGGTAATCTCCTCGTTTAGTTCTGAGTACTTAAGCCCTGTGTTTTCCCATGTTTATCGTCCAGTGTTAATCGTCGATTCCGTGTGCTGTGTTTCCTTGTTTTATTCATTAAAGACTGTTCCTTGTATATTATCCCACGTCTCCGTGCCTCCTCGCTCCTCACTGTAGGCACACCGTGACAAATATAGTGTTAAACGTTTAAATATATATATATATATATATATATATATATATACAATATCTCACAGAAGTGAGTAGCCCCCTCACATTTTTGTAAATATTTTATTATATCTTTTCATGTGACAACACTGAATAAATGACACTTTGCTACAATATAAAGTAGTTAGTGTACAGCTTGTGTAACCGTGTAAATTTGCTGTCCCCTCAAAATAACTCAACACACAGCCATTAATGTCTAAACCGCTGGCCACAAAAGTGAGTACACCCCTAAGTGAAAATATCCAAATTGGGCCCAAAGTGTCAATATTGTGTGTGGCCACCATTATTTTCCAGCACTGCCTTAACCCTCTTGGTTCACCAGAGCTTCACAGGTTGCCACTGGAGTCCTCTTCCACTCCTCCATGATGACATCACGGAGCTGGTGGATGTTAGAGACCTTGAGATGCTCAATAGGGTTTAGGTCTGGAGACATGCTTGGCCAATCCATCACCTTTACCCTCAGCTTCTTTAGCAAGGCAGTGGTCGTCTTGGAGGTGTGTTTGGGATCGTTATCATGTTGGAATACTGCCCTGTGGCCCAGTCTCCAAAGGGAGGGTCACAGTACATGTGTGGCATTCATGGTTCCCTCAATGAACTGTATCTCCCCAGTGCCGGCAGCACTCATGCAGCCGTTAGGGGTGTACTCACTTCTGTGAGCTACTGTATATAATTTTAATCATTTAATGATAATTTTTTTGTGTGTTTATGGTTAAATCTGTTCAACGTTCTGATCTTAACCAAGTGCATGTTCCCTGTACTTTTTGTCATCTTTCCTACTTCTTAAATCTGTTTTGCCCTTACCATTTTGCAATAAAGTGCAAAATAAAAATTATTTATACCGTTTCCCCAGTTGTTATGCAGTCCATTCATATCACTTATCTCTAAGCATCATGTTTTGTCTTCATGCCCGCCGAATGCCTCATTTGTTCTTATCTGCCTGTGCTTGTCAGCTCAGCATCCAATCATTACAGAGTGCCGCTACCATAGCATGACTGCACTTCACTTATTCCCAACACTTCGCTGACAACACTGCCAACTTTATTTTCTGTTAGAGTGAGTCTGAGCGAATGCAACATGACCAGTGCAAAACAAAACATCCCGTCAGACGGGAGGTAAACGTTCGATTGCAATAAAGCTTCCACATTTTTCAGAGCATAATAATGAAGAGTCTCAAAACACTGAATGATTGAAATGCTCTCAAACCATCATCTAAAGAACAAATTCTATAGCTCGTACCTAACGATGGCCTCTTGAAAGGCACTTTGTTCATTTCCACACAATACATCTCGTCAGCAGCCTCCAGCTCTCATCTATAATTGCATCAACG